GAGGCTGAAGCAGGAGGATAGCAAATTCAAGGTCAGCCAACCTGAGCAATTTGATGAGACCCTCAGCAACTTAGCAAGATCTTCTTTCAAAAGGGCTGGGGATGGAGCTCAGTAGTAAAGCTCCTCTGGTTCAATCCCCAGTACCCTGTGAGACAGGGGACGAGGGAGGGAGAAAGAGAGAGAGAAAGAGAGAGGTAGGGAGGTGTGTGTGGGGGGGATGAGAACACTTAACAGAGTAAAGGCAATATTATTTTCTTAGTTGAAATACAACACTATTGGCATCTTTTAAGATAATTTCAATTTAAGGTACATAAAAGACAAAACACAAAAGGCTCAGGATTTCATTCTTTTTTTTTTTTAATTTATTTTTTTAGTTGTAGTTGGACACAATACCTTTATTGTATTTATTTATTTTTTGGACAGATTACCTTTATTTTATTTAATTTTTTATGTGGTGCTGATGATAGAACCCAGTGCCTCACACATGCTAGGCAAGCGCTCTACCATTGAGCTACAGCCCCAGTCCCTTATTTATTTATTTTTATGTGGTGCTGAGGATCAAACCCAGGGCCTCACATGTGCTAGACAAGTGCTCTACCACTGAGCCACAACCCCAGCCCCCCACCATTTCATTCTTTAAAGATACTCTTTAAGACATTAAAAGATTTTTTTCAATATACAAATTGCTAATTATGTAACTTTATTATAGGGTAACATTTTTTAAACCAAGTCACAACTACAGCTATTTGCTGTTAAATATTTTATAAAAGGAGGCAATACTGGAGCCTGTCCTTCATGTGTGTGCACATGTGTACACATATAATTTATGAGGAATTTCTGAAAAAAGTCTTTTTATTATTTTCCTGATCCTGGAATTACATATACTTATTGTAAGAATGCTACTCCAAAAATCCAGATGTAAATGAGCACAAACCATTATAATATAAAGCCTATCACTTAATCTCAGCAATGGTGCAATTCCTGAAATAATTATAATGATGCTTTAAAAGTCTAATTGAAGTGTTTTGCTTCTATTCTTAAGAAAAACAAAGGGCATTTATTCTCTAAAAACTCCAAAGTGCTTTAAAAGTTCCCTTTCTTAGAAATTCCATTATGTACATAGTGGGAGGCTAGCCATCTGTAAACCAAGGAGAAAGGCCTTGGGAAAAACCAATCCTGCTAACTATCTTCTGCTAATTCTTGATCTTAGACTTCCAGCCCACAGAATCATGAGAAAATAATTTGCTGTTTAAACCAAAAACACTCAAAGAATGTCTCTGGCAGGTAATTGCAATGATAGCACATGTTTTTCTAAAAAAAAAAAAAAAAAAAAAAAAAAGCAAAATAAATTTTATACAAATAAGCCTGCCCCTCTAGTGTTGACATGACAAAAGGAAAGTGAGCTATATCTCAAATTGCTCAATGTGTACATTTAAGTTTCACTCTTTCCCCTTTTCTGTCCCACACCCTGAGTAAAGACCCAACTCTTAAGAAGTTGTATTAAGGGGCTGGGGTTATGGCTCAGCGGTAGAGCACTCACCTAGCATGGGCAAGGCCCTGGGTTTGCTCCTCAGCACCATATAAAAGTAAATATATACTGTGTCCAACTACAACTAAAAAATAAATACACACAAAAAAAGAAGTTGTATTAAGCCAGGGTAGGTTAACCTGGTAAAGTGTAAACCTGCTTACTACTTCTGAGGAAGTGAATAGAAGGCTAAACTAATAGAGAGATGGTGTTTTTTTTTTTTTTTTTAAAGTCATAACATATTAGCATCAGAGACTCATAATACCTTCTGTTCCTTCTGCATTCCCTATTGGCGAAGGGAACCCAGGACTTGCAGCCAAACACTTGGCAGTCACCCCAGGCGGGCACTGCCTCACTTCATCCTCAAGCCCTTCAGCCACTTAGTCATCAAACACATTCTACTTTTTCAGTGACTGTTCCTTCTCTTTTGTGATCACTCTCATGGTTTTAGTTTGGGATTATCATCAGTGACCTGGACCATTTTAACCATCATGGTAAGGGGTCCAAGAGAGCTTGTCTTTCTGATCCATCTACTAATACTGATAATGGGTGATCATTCCATATTTAAAACCTTATTTCAGGTTCAGACATAAAGAACCAGTAGCTTTTCACTAGCATCAAGCCCAGGCTTCTCAGTCTGTCCTTTCTAGCCTTATACCCTACTGTGCCAAACACAAGGATGCTATGTTCCTAACCACTTACTATTCCCAGGCTTGGCTAACTTACCAGATACTACTTGAAATGCCCTGTCCCATGTGTATCCAGTGATCATCAAGTTCTCTCTCAAGGTCTGTATCAAGACTCACTTATTCCATGAAGTCTCTCCTGACTCCTACCCTCTCCTTTCCTGTGGACTCAATCCTGGGCTCTTGTCTTTAGGGGAAATATACTTGCAATCAAAGTTGTTGTAAATTTGCCCCTGGTTTTAAAAAAGAGAATATGTAAAAACAAAAGAGAGTGATTATCACACTGCCTACAAATAAATGTTGAGATGAGTAGGTGAATGTTTTTATTCCCATTTAACAAGATTAGGCAGAAATAATTGGTCCAGGCCTATGCACACTGTGGACTGCACAGTGAAGTGTAGAAACTGTTTTAGAAAACAAAATTTAGAAACCACAAAGCTTCTATGCTGAGGACACACAGTCTATATCATCATCTTAAAAGGGAACTCCTTGTCCATTTTCTTTTCTAGGGATTTGTACTGTCAATTTTTCTCTGTGAAACAGCCAGGAGGAAGTCTGGACATTCCTGAGTGTCCAGGCATCAGGGACTCCATTTTGTCAATAAGGTGAGATTCACATAATCACTATCCACTACTCAAATGCTTACAGCTAAACTAAATGTAATACTTTTCACTAGTATTAACAGTGGTATTAACACTGGTATTAAAGCAGACATTTCTTGGGTCCATATGACTATTTAGACTCTTAGAGTTACCAGTAAAAGAAGGAAATAAAACCACTCATAAAGTACTACCTAGATTCCTAGATCATTATACTGATATATACTTTCATGGCCTGTGCTTTCTTTGATCATTTTCATTTGTAAAATCATTTAAAATAATTGCTTCTTTTGACTAACCAAAGGCAAACCCCTCAAATTCAACATCAGTATTTCTCTTATTTTCTTCCAATCCTCCATAGTTGATTGAAAGTTTTGGAAACTTATTTGTCTGACTTCCTTCATCAAAGAATGTGCCCCTTATAGCTTAGTTTGCAGCTCTCATACATTTCCCATAGTGCTGTTTTCATATCTGTGGCAACAGATTTCTCTTGGAAGAATTCAAACAGTACCACACAAATGCTTATGAGCCAAACAGCTCATTTTTGCTCACCCATTAGCCTCTTACTCAAAAAACAACTGTATATTCAAAGTACTTAAATTATTAAAATTATTTTGACAAACTGGATTTTATAATTAATATTTCATATTGCATTGCTTTCAAAATGGTTGGGGATTGGAGGAGTAGAAATAATCCAAATATGTTATATGCATATACAAATATGATGCAATAAAATTCATTATTCTGTACCATTAATATGCACTAATAAAAATAAATTTATTTTTTAAAAATGAATGGAGATTTTTTTTCAAACAAAATATGTAAACTTAGGCATTTGCTAAAAGACTTCTTGATAGCCTTTTAAAATCATTTTCTTATCCAAAGATTTTTAAAGCTTTGAGGCTGTTTTAAACAGTAGTGGCACTGTATGGAATTTCAGCTGATGTCTTCTAACTTTTGAGCGCATTCTGAAGCACAGCTGAAGGAAGCTGTTTAACTGACAAACCAATTGTTAAGAGATGCAAAAGGTCCAAGACTACTTAAACTTTATTCTTAAGATAAATACAAAATTACTGCTTTGTGTTCTGTGATGTTAACCCTCTACAAAACTTCTTAAGGCTAAGTCTAACTGGGAAGATAAAATCCTTACCAAACACAATGGGTGAAATCTGAGTCATGATAAGATTGCAACAAGGTCAAGGGTAAGGAATCACTTTTCCTAACTCTGCTATGGGCAATTCACTTCAGGGCCCTTTTTGTCCTGTAGATAAGCCTAAATACCTGGCAGATGTTTATAAAGAACTTTTCTTCATATGCAAGCATTTTTAAATCTTTAAATCATTTTAAAGTAGAGTAAACACAATCTGAGAAGCCAGTGTATTAAGAACAAAACCATTTCCACCTTGGTATTAAGAGAATTAAAGGGTAGAAGCTAAAAACATCTAACAATTTAAGGGAGGTTCTAGGAGAAAGTAAGTCAAGAGATAACAAAAGATTTCAAAGAAGCTGACAGTGGAAATTTCAAATGAATCATAATAGTTAACACAAATAACTTATAAAAAGCAATGACCCATAAAGTCCATGGGTAAGGATTATCATATTAATCATGTTTARCCTAGTTTTAAAGGTCTCTAGTCATTTAAAAAAGTAAATATAAAACTGCTTTCTCTTTTGAATTAATACTTATTATTAAAGAAAAAAACATTTTATCAAATGTTTTCTAGATGTCATAGGCTCTTTAACATTATATCCTGATGGCAGGATACCCCTCTAGTGTTTCTACTATAGTGATCATGTACAATCCTATAATTGTAGTCATATTATTTCAATTTACTTTTAAGAATCACTGCAATTTCTATACTATTTTCATATGTGAACAAAATTAATAGCTTTTTCATTATTGATTAGGATCAGACATGAAAAGTGACCTCAAATTTCTCCTTAGAGGCTTAAAGACAAAGAACTCTAAATGCATCAGCATCATTGAAAATGAGACCTCAGCGGGTGGGAAAAATATTTTTTCACTGTAAGTGAGAGAAGGGAAGCTGGGTGGTAAATAAGGATGAAAGGTTTCCAGGATTGTTAAAAATTTAGCATGCAGGTTCTTCCCACCTCTCCTTGACCCTCCCAACCCCTATAACAATGAGGATACTGTAGAGACACTAGTGGATGGAGATCTGACCATACCTTCGTGGGTAGGTTCTGGGTCAGGTGTAAGTGAGATGTCATCCAGCTCTCGCAGGCAGAGCCATTCTCCATCCATAGACACTCGGAATTTGCAAAGGTAGATGGTCTCCATGGCAGCCTGTGTGATCTTGTCAGTGGTGGGGGTTGGCATATCGGTCGGAGGAGTCAGAGCAGACATGATGACTCAGCTGGGACCACAACACACACACACACACACACACACACACACACACACACACAGGAAATATAATAAGACCTCCTCACCAAAAATCCCCAAATCTGAACCTCTGAAACAAAGCGTTCAGGAAAAGGGGTGGGGGAGGTTAAAAACAAACAAACAAAAAATCCTAAAATTAAAAATACAAAAAAACAAGGAAACCAACTGCTCAAGAAAAATAATTCTACCCTATCTTTTCTTATTGACAATTCCTACCACATAGCAAAATAAAATGATGCTTGTATTCTTCAGCGTCCTCTCCTTTTATCTTTTCTTCTCTACCCTCTTCTCTAGCTGAGCTATAGGCTTCAAATCTKCCAATGCCTTAGCTGGCTTTAAAAACTGGTCTTAGCACGAATAAGTGAAGAAATCCTTTCTTTGTGCAGGGAAAACAAAAAATATATAAACAAAAAAAAAAGAATGAAAAATAAGACTATATTTCCAATTTAGCTTTTAAAAAAATCCCAAACTGCAGAAATCACTTCCAGGATCTGCTCAGATGAGCCAGGATGCTGAGTTCTAACAGGATTGGTTGTGCGCAGTAAGCAGGGTGTTGACCAAAATGGCTGACTAATGAACTGAACTGAAAATTCAGGCTCATGTGACCAGCTGCTCTGAACGTAGGGGGAGCAATTCCCAGGATGCTTTATAGATGCTGCTGATGCAGGGAGAGCAATTAGCTGCTTTCTCTCGTCCTGTACAACCCACTTCCAGACTGTGCTAGTCAAACTGTGATCAGACATAATGCAATGCACATATCCTCATCAATTCCCCTCACTTTGTGATAGAAGGGCTGAATAACAGAGGACAGTTAATACTGGATAATACTTCATTGCAAAGATGGCAAAGAGGCAACTGGATTGATTTTTAATCAAGCATATAATTAATCTCTTTAGCCCTTACATACATATTTGTTAAAATACTATAAAAAGGTGGTATTTTAAAAAAAGTGAAGGTAAGTTTTTAACTTAAATAACTTATTTTCAGGCATAATTCCTTCTCCAAAGTACAAAGGCATTTCTAGACTGTGAAGAAATGAAGGCTAAAAAAAAAAAAAAAAAGAAAATCTTTCCTGATTAATGGCAATCTCCTCTTTTAAATATTGCTATATTTACCAATTTTTTGCAATATGCAGGAAAAATGAAATGATAAAACCTTCCCATCTTGGAATGTACTGAAGGCACATCAGATTCTCTTAAATCAACTAACACACACACACAAAACATATTCACACACATTTACATCATCCAATGAGGTATTTAGGCCTTGATAGCTGACAGCAAAAGGGCAGGTATTCACTTTCTGAACTATGTAAGTATTAAGGAGAGGAAGGCTAAGGACTTTGAAAATGTTTTTAGACAATTGAAAACTTTTTTTTTTAATTTAAAGATTCCACTTTTAAGAAGAAACATACAATTTCAAGAAACAGAAGTAAGACTATTCTGTTCTAGGTTTTTTTTTTTTTTTTTCCTGGTGATACTAGAGATTGAACCTAGGGGTTCTTTACCATGTAGGTATATCTATAGCTCTTTTTAAATTTTTAAAATTTTGACACAGGATCTCACTAAGTTGCCAAGGTTGGTCTTGAACTTGTGATCCTCCTTCCTCAGCCTCTCAAGCTGCTAGGATTACAGGTGTGCAACACTGAGCCTGACTATGTTCTAGAGATTTTTTTAAAAAATGAATTAATTTAATGTGTGTTTTTTTTTTTTTTTTTTTTTGAAGCCAGGAGTGTTTAACTGCTATCTACATCCCCAGCCCCTTTTTATCTTTTATTTTCAGATAGGATCTCACTTGCTGAGTTTGGTCTCAAACTTGTGATCCTCCTGCCTCAATCTCCTGAGTCACTGCTATTACAGGTATGTGCCACTGCCCCTGGCTCTAGGGATTCTTACTGTAATAGCTTGGGGCCTTCTGGGAAACTGAGGCAGCCTGAAGACCTGTCCCACTCTTCAAACCTAGATTCTTACAATTAAGTCATAAAGATTTCAGATGTCACTCCCAATAACAGACAGTGAATGAGTTTATTACAGGGATGGGAAAGAGGAAAGGGGGACACTCAAGGGAGAGAATGGGTCCTCTTGGAGAGGGATAGTGTGCCTCTTCTGTACTTATTTTATTGGGAATCACAGAGAAGTTTCTAGAGCGGTCCACCTCTTGACTATTTTTTTTGTTGTTGCTGTTATTTTTTGTTTTTGACCTACAGCCATGACAACTCTAGGTCATTTTAGGCCATGCTGGCGGGTTCTAATTGGATTCTTAACCACAAATTCTTACAGATTTTATGGTTAGAAAGAATAATCCTTATCTCCCTGAGTTCCAGTATTTGGTCTGTGAAAAGGTCACAAAAGTCTCCCTCTTCAGGATAATTTGGGTTCCTCTATTGACATTATTTCAGGCCTGCAGCTCTCTTAAAGATAAGAAGTAATATGCTGAGGAATGTGACATATCCTGTCCACTTAAGCAAGGTTGCATTTAAATTTCTTCTTGGAAAAGAAAGCATGTGGGAGTCGGCATTGTAGTCCCATTTTACAGAATTATTCCCTTAACCTCCTGTTCTCACCACTTGCCTCTGTCTCCATCATTATCAGGGGGACATCTTGATTTACCTAATTTCTGAAAGTTAAAAGAAAAAAGTTTCCTTGAATAATAGTAAAATTTTATAAATGCTTCAACTTAAATTGAAATTGAGCTTAAAGAAAAAATGCTAAGAACCAGATTCTGTGGTTAAATAAGCACTTTCATATTGTTAGGAGTGTAAATAGGTACAAGATAAAAATGCAAAGGCTGATTTCTGATGGGGTTACATCCTAGGAAGCCTATCCTAAATTGAAAACATTTTTTTTAAAGGCATCACTCACAGCTTCCAATTTTAATACATAAAGGAGAAGGACATGATTAGATTTTAATGAACTTGCTTTTGTTTTTACTATATATTTTTTATCATTTCTTTATTTATTTTCTTTTTTTTATTGGTTGTTTAAAACATTACAAAGCTCATGACATATCATCTTCCATACATTTGATTCGAGTGGGTTATGAACTCCCATTTTTTACCCCAAATACAAGTTGCAGAATCACATCGGTTACACATCCACATTTTTACATAATACCATATTAATGACTGTTGTATTYTGCTACCTTTCCTATCCCCTACTATCCCCCCTCCCCTTCCCTCTCATCTTCCCTCTCTACCCCATCTGCTRTTGTTTAATTCTCTCCCTTGTTTTTTTYCCCCTTTCCCCTCACAATCTCTTWTATGTAATTTTGTGTAACAATGAGGGTCTCCTTCCATTTCCATACAGTTTCCCTTCTCTCTCCCTTTCTCTCCCCCCACTCGTCTCTGTTTAATGTTARTCTTTTCCTCATGCTCTTCTTCCCTGTTCTGATCTTAGTTGCTCTCTTTATATCAAAGRAGACATTTGGCATTTGTTTTTTAAGGATTGGCTAGCTTCACTTAGCATAATCTGCTCTAATGCCATCCATTTCCCTGCAAAATCCATGATTTTGTCGTTTTTTAGTGCTGTGTAATACTCCATTGTGTATAAATGCTACAGTTTTTTAATCCATTCATCTATTGAAGGGCATCTAGGTTGATTCCAAAGTCTAGCTATTGTGAATTGTGCTGCTATGATCATTCATGTGGCAGTATCCCTATAGTATGCTCTTTTAAGGTCCTCAGGGAATAGACCAAGAAGGGCGATAGCTGGGTCAAATGGTGGTTCCATTCCCAGCTTTCCTAGGAATCTCCATACTGCTTTCCATATTGGCCGCACCATGAAAACATTTTAAGTTGAAAATGTATTTAATACATCTAACCTATCAAACATCATAGCTTTGAAGCACAGTACATACAGTCCCTGGCTTACAATGGCTTGATGTACAATATTATGATCATGCAAAAATTATATCCATTTGGTTGAAATGTACTTCAAATTTTGAATTTTGCTCTTTTCTTGGGCTAATTATATGCTGGTACAATACTTTCTTAGGATGCTGGGTAGTGGCAGTGAGCCACAGCTCCCAGTTATCCAAATGACCACAAGAGGATACAAGTAATATTCTACAGTGTACTGTTGCTAAGCTATGATGCTTGGTAGGTTACATGTATTAAACACATTTTGGTCCTGAGGCTTGAATCCAGGGCATCATGTGTACTAAGCACCTTGTTCTATCACAAGGTTACATGCATTTTGGACTTAAGATACTACCAAGTTATGATGGGTTTATTTGGATGTAACCTCATTGTAAGTCAAGGAGCATCTGTGTACTGTGGAGTATCAGTTGTTTACCCTTGTTACTGCACGGCTAACTAGGAGCTAGAGCTCATTGCCACTGCCCAGCGTCTCCAGAGAATACTTTGTAAATAAAGTATTTATAAATAAATAAAAATATTTGTAAAATACTCCTGGTTTGTTTATTTCTATCTCATTTCATCCCAATACTATCCTATATGTGGACCCAAAGTCATTCATTTATGTTAGCAAATATTCATTGACAGGTGCTCTGCATGCCAGGTGGTTATCTAGATACTGAACATATAGTAGTAAGACAGACTCACCTTTTGGAGGCAGCAGAGTTTACACATCCAAATGAATGGGTCTTCATTTAGCACATTCACATTTAAGTACATTGTAATTCCTTTCTAGCCAACATTATTTCCTTCTTATTCACTAAAGCATAAAGTAGACAGTTCATAGTTTCACTTTATGCCATATGATACTTCAAAACATAGTAAATGGTCATTGAAACATTTAAATTACACTGAATGTAGTTCCTGGAAACACAACTTCAAACAGCCTTGACTATCTGTACTTGTGACATCAAGACTCTAAGTAACTCATATATTCTTAAAATAGGGAACAACGACTGCACGAATGAATCTGAATGCCCGGGATCCAATACAGTAGCCCCCCACTATATCCAGGGGATATGCTCCAAGATTCCCAGAGGATGCTCAAAGCCAAGAATAATTCTGAATGAACCCTGCTTACATACATAGCTAAGATACAGTTTAATTTATAAATTAGGAGCAGTAAGAGATTAACAATAACTACTAATAAAAAAGAATCATTACAACAATATACTGTAATAAAATTTACATGAATGTGGCCTGTCTTTCAAAATATCTTGCAATGAAATCCCACTTTTTCTTGTGATTATGTGAGATGATACAATGTCCAGATTAGGTGAATGATGGGAGCTTGTGAGTGTTATAACACTATATAAAGATTACTTGAACACAAGCACTATAATATCAGGACAACTGAGCTAATTATGGGAGGGTAGCACCATCAGAATTGATACACTGGACAAAGGAATAATTCATATTCTGAGTAGGATGGAGTAGGAAGGCACAAGATTTCATCACACTACTTAGAAGAGCATGTAATTTAAAACTTATGAATTATTTCTGGAATTTTCCACTTAGTATTTTGGTCCCCTGTTGACCTAAGGTAAATGCAACCAGAGAAAGCAAAATCATGGATAAGAGAGGGCAACTGCACCTGCATTCAGCATTTGTGGATTGAT